CCGAATGGATTCACCAGACCGAACCGTTTCGCCACGGCGTATGTGGATTACGACATTGACTCAGTTTCCTCCTATCGCCGAAATGGTTCACATCATCGATTCAATTCACAGCACCGAAACGATTCACCTCGGCCGGAACATTTCACCGCGCCTCACCGGTTCATCTGAGCGTTCTAGATCTCTCCATCAGCTGAGATCATTTAAACGTTTGGGATTACTGAACCGATCCAGATCAGAACACGATCCAGATCACAACACCGGTGTAGATCACGGACTGATTCAGATCACGTCAACATTCCGGCTCACCACCCTGAACCGATTTACCAGCCCGACTTGTACCGTTTCACCAGGCCGAAAAGCTCCTTATCGTCGAACCAGTTCACCTGGCCGTTCAAGTTCACTGAATTGTCAGCATTTATCGAACTGTCAGCTTTCATCAATAATCCGTTCCTCGGACCTTGCCAGCAATTGAGCTTATTCAGGAATTGGGCGATTCACCACTCGTGTTTTTTCCAACACGGCGCATCTTACCAGCCTATCAGAGCCTATGCCAAATGTGTCTGGGTTGCCTCCCAAGACACTTAACCCGCATCGAACCTCGTCTTTGTTTTCATGGTTCGGGCTACGCCAGTCGCCTATAAGAGGCAGGAATGGTTTTGGTTGATTCGACACACATGATCGCATGGTTCGCCGACCACCTACAGCTACCTAGAGCAAGATACCAGATGTTCAATTGATTGCATTCAACATGAAGGATCGGGACTTGTCAACATTGGTTTTCCACATCCTCAACGAGGTTCGTGAACTTGAATCTAGATTGGGCCAAATTTGTCGAACTCTGCTAGTTTTCAACACGATCATAGTTTTCAGGGCATCTGTGAGGCGCTGAATTCCTCATTACGAAGTGGCAAGCTCTAAGCTCGACAATTTGATTTGTTTATCCGGTTCACCTTACGGCTTGTGAGGTGCTTAATGTTATTAGTCACATAACTTATCCCACCTTGTACCCCTTTTTGGGATGATTGTACAGAGGTAGTAGCTATGTGCTTCACCATGCCGAATTGATTTACATGTGATGTCAGTAGCACAGTCATCTAGAGATATCACGCTCGGCACTTGACGGTCTGACGATCCCAGTTCTCAAGAGTCCTCCGTGACCGGGGCTCATCTCATTCCAGATTTAATCTACCATCCGATCTTCACCTTTGATGAATGATTCGGTTCAACGATTCTACCCTTCGGTGGAGATATCAGTTCTACAACCACCCGATATGGCATAACTAGATACACTTGCTAGCCAGGAATACTTTACGACACTCCGATGAGTCTTGTTACTACAGACTACTGGTAACAGCGTGTTTGTGTATCGCTGGGTGCAATTGTTGCAGATGGTTCGTCATCTTCAGCTCCCTTTGTTTTACATGATAAGCAAATTTCTGGACAGATAACAAATGGGTGAAGTTTTTGCGCATGGTACCAGCAGTGATGTTTTGTCAAATAGCCAGCATAGCTCAGCCCGGAATTTATGGGTTGCGACTCGCCCGGTTAACCGAAGACCATGTTGTCCGTTTTTTTGTCACTCGTGTGTAACGTTTGCAAATGGCGGACTACTGTTTGTTTACCGGAATTTTGATGATTAGAGTGACTATGAAGTGCCCTTGCAGACTTGTCTTGGTCCCACGAATCGGATACCAAGTCCAGCCTTTAAATGCTAGTAACAATGAACGCTGCCATTCCCAGAAAGAGTGAATGTGTCGGGATTTTGACAGCCAGTCAAGAGAGACTGCTTATCGAGGGTGACAGACAGAAACACCCGTGAACGGTTTGACTAGTTTGACCTGCGAGGGTCGTGGGGTAGCCTAGTTGTTAAAGCGTTCGATCCCCACATGGGCACAATGTGTTAAGCCCATTTCTGGTGTCCCCTGCCATGATGTTGCTGGATTATTGCTAAAAGCGGTGTAAAACTAAACTCAGTCAGTCAGTCAGTCAGTCCCTCGACCTGTGAGACGCCTACCATCACATCCGGATACATCCAGACTATCGGAAGTATCTTCGATTTACTTTCATGGGGCGTCTTTGATACCAATGGAGGGTCCTGCTGCATGGGCATATGTGCGGCCCGTGGCTTTTTACTCAGATACCCATTCCAATAACAAGCTACCTGCATTGTCGAGGCGTGACACCGCCTCCGTGGTGTAGTGGTTAGAGCATCCGACCGAAAAGCGGAAGGTCGCGGGTTCGATCCCCGACCGCGTCATACCAAAAAGACGTTAAAATATGGTACTTGTTGGTCCCTACTTGTTGGTCCCTGCCTGGTGCTCGGCTTTAATGGGTACAACAAGGACTGGTCGGCTCGGAGTCAGTATAATGTGTCTGAGTGGGGCATTCATGCTTCACTGCGGCGTGGTGTCTCAGTGGGCTAGCACTATAAAACCAGCTTAAGTCTGGGCTAGTACAAGCAGCCGCACTTACACATACACGTGCATGCACGTCATCATATGAGCGAAATATTCTCAAGCACGACGTAAAACCCAATTTCACCTCACCTCACCAAGCGTGACATTTGAGAACTATATCGACGACTGTGTTCAAGCCCAGCAGGATCCAGACGTCCTTCCTCTCCACAGGCAGTTCATCATCAAGTTGCTCACGCAATTAGGATGGCTGCTAAATTCGGAGAAATCAGAGGTAACACCGACCCGATGATTTCTTTTTATTGGGACAATATTCAACACGACAGGTCATGATGTTTGTGCCCCAGGAGAGGTGGGACAAGATTCAGTGCAACGCACCATTAGTGCTGGTCCAACCCACACCTTTTCGCCAGTGGCAGAAGTTCTAGAGTGGTTGACGTCGGCACAAGAGCTGACTTACAGGGGCCAGCTGCAGCTTTGCCCTCTTCAGATGTTTCTGTGCCCATACATCGGGGACGACAACCCCAGGGAGTTGATTCGTCTTCCCACACAACTACATTCAGTCTTTCGTTGGTGGCTCAACAAGTGGAATGTTTGTGTTGGAGTCTCTATGGTGCCGACTCAACACCTGTTCATTGACACATCTTTCAAGCTGGGGCGCTCACTTTCTCCATCAAGTGGCCTAGCAGTGGTCATCAGGAGAAAGGGCCCTTCATCACTTCTTCAACGAACTGGAATTCAGCACTGTCATTATTGCCTGTTCGGCACTCGGGACAACCATCAGCTTCAGCGCAGATGATCACCAGTTACGATCGTTTCTGCTTTGTGTACAATCTGAATAAAATTCTGAATTTTATTTCTGATTTGTGTCTTCGATTCTTCTGGGACTTGTTTGTTTTCCGATTCAATTACCCTTTCACCCTCCACGGGACGGTGTCTGTGGGGGTTGTTTCAAAGCAGGGGCTGGCCCGATACTGGTCGTCAGACCTTGGAAATCGTGGTAATGCGACTGATTACACTCGCTAAGCTGCTTCCTTTCACTTTCGTGAAGGTAGTGACTGAACACCACATTGCTCGGGAATCCCGGTCTCTGGAGCACTTGTGCTTAGTAAGTCAATGGGTTCGAACTAACCATCGCATGTCTCGCTTTTGAGGGCGCTGGAGGGTCGCCACCTCACTTACTGTCCTCTGCTCCACGGAGTAATTACGTCAGTGAAGTGAGTCATTTCGAAGTGTTACGCCGTGGCGTTCATGCTCCTACGCACCTATACACATCTATGTGATCTTACTGTGGTAAGTAGTGGAAGTCATAAGATGATGTTGTGGTACTGAGCGTTAAAATTGTGAGTTTTTCCGATTCAATTACCCTTTCACCCTCCTCGGGGCGGTGTCTGTGGGGGTTGTTTCGAAGCAGGGGCTGGCCCGATACTAGTCGTTAGACTTTTATTACGGGGGTACCTTGGAAATCGTGGCGATGCGACTGATTACACTCGCTTAGCTGAGTCCCTTTCACTTTGTGAAGGTAGTGACTGAACACCACATTTGCTCGGGAATCCCGGTCCCTGGGAGCACTTGTGCTTAGTAAGTCAATGGGTTCGCACTAACCCTCTGCGTAGTAACTTTGGTAGTTATTGGCCTGCCTTGTAGTTGCTTCCCACGGTTGTTTTGGCATAGCGCTTAGCTGTTATCGCTTGAACCGGGTAATCTATGACCCACCTTCCTACCATGGGATAAGTGCAAGTCGTGAGATAGGATAAGTTTAAAAATTTGGAAATTTTAACTATAAATTGTATATTTATATACTTATCCTATCTCACGCGATAAAGTCCCACCCTACCTCCCCACTACTTAGATTACCACCGTTCCGGTTTTGTCCTTTTATGGCTCCAAGATCGAGAATGAGTATGGAAGGTGATCACGTGGGTGAGGACTGCGCATGCCACGTGCTGTCACGGCCTGGTGAGCATGGCTAAGGCAGGAAGGCATGCACAGCACGGGGACAGGGACAAGGAAGGCCTGGAGCAAAGTTTAATTCGTTTCCACTCATGGTCGAATGAAGAGAGAGAGGTGCAAGTTGTGAGATAGGATAAGTATATAAATATACAATTTATAGTTAAAATTTCCAATTTTATTCAGAAAATTACATAATCAGAATTTTGTTGTTTTTGTATAACACCCTTGAATGAAGTAAACTGACCATCAAATTTGACGAATATTCACGAACAAACATGCGTTCAACAGCGTAAAGCTATGCACATTGTAAAATTCTAACCACTTTTATTGTTACAATTACAATTCCAGTTTCTTTCTTGCATGCGTACATTTCATTGCATGACAGCATTAGTTATAAAAAAACCCATTAATTAGAAAAAAAACTGGGGAAAATTCCTTAAAATTGGTGATTACATTAAAAATGTATATATTTCGATTATAATCGATAAATCGTTCACCACAATCTACCAATAATCGATAGTGGATTTGGTTTTCGATTCCCAACACTAGCTGACACTACTTTTAACCCAACAGTTCTGACGTGTAGTAGTGGTGTAGAAGTATCCACTGATGGTGTTGATGTGTACTCTGCAGCTGGTGGACACCATGACCCCAACGGAGGTGCGGTGCGTTAGCCAGGCCTCCTTGCCGTCGCGGACGCTGGACATGCCGGACACCATGTCTGTGACCAGTCATCAGTGTAGGAACATCCACTCTCTGTCGCCGTGCAGGACATTTACCAGGGAAATAGGTACACCATTGTCACTCACTCACTTAACTCACTCACTCACTCACTCACTCACTCACTCACTCACTCACTCACTCACTCGTATCCTTGGACAAGATACTTAGATCCACCTTGTCTCAGTTCACCCAGCTGTAAAATGGGTACCCGTGAGGATGTGCTGGCAATGTGAGTGTTTAGTTCATTGCGCCAAACAGGCAGCATGACTGTATGCTCCCCAGGGAAAGAGTATCAGAAAGTATGATAGTGTCCTATGACCGGGGATAGTAATGTACATAGCGCCGTGAGCAGTCAGTGTGCCTGGATATGAGCGCCATATAAGTGGACTATTACTTTACTATTACTCGCGCAACGCACTCACAAACTCACTCTCGAAGTCACGAACTCACTCATGAACTCACAAAGTTTGTATACTCTTTACAAAATCATTGTCATCATTTAATGCTTTGTGAACAAAACCCAGAGGTATAGCCAGTTGTAATACTATTGTTAACACACAATCTGATTACGATTCTTGTTATCCATCTTTGTAGATAAAAGTCCATTGACATGTACAAGGTTGTTTTCGGCCAACAGGGGGCAGTGTATACGACTACCGTAATGGCCAAGTGTGGAAAGTGTGTGTGTCACTTGAGGGGCTGGTGGAGAGCTTCAAGACTGCATACGCTCCAACCCGACAAGCCCTTCTTCACTACCTCCTCATAAGAACAAAAGACCTCTACACAGTCAAACAGGTGAACTAAATGCTGAGCAATATTTCAGCTATATGGTGGCGGTATGAATTTAATTCAGTGAGTTTGATAATCCGATATCGTTCATTGCCCCTTATGAGTGAGTGAGTTTGATTTTACGCCGCTTTTAGCAATATTCCAGCAATATCGCGGCAGGGGACACCAGAAATGGGCTTCACACATTTTACCCATGTGGGGATTCGAACCCGGGCCTTCGGCGTGATGAGCGAACGCTTTACCCACTAGGCTACACCACCGCCCCAGTTGCCCCTTATGACAAGCATGGGTTGCTGAAGACCAGTTCTGTCCCGGATCTTCACGGATCTTAATCATGATGCTTGAGTCATCATCCAGAGGTAGACTGTCTGTCCTCATCCCACAGTGAAAGAAATCTGTGGTGTTGTGGCAACATGTACACTATGTTTGTGATCTTTGTCACAATCCAAAAACACTTCAAATATTTACATTGTTTTCTAAGTAATCCCAAAGAACCTGTTTACTTTTATTTTGTACATCAGTTTATCTTAGATTCTAAGATGATTCGGTGAAAGATCAAAGGCGCTGACAGTACTTTATCAGACGATAATGTACAGTTTTTGCATTACGTCACAATGTATTGGCGTCACTCCACAAGCGTCCTCGTGCTTTAACTATAATAATTCAGGACGAAAGTGTGCTTTATTACACTATACATGGTGGTAGAGCGAACTGTATTTCTTAACTTATATCAAAGCACTGTCAAGAAATAGTTTTTCAAATCATATTTCTTTTGGCTGCAGATTCCAGGTTCTTTCATGTAAAATTTCATTCATAGGGCTTTCACTGACACACTAGTCAAGGTCATCATGACCTTGGCACACAAATTCATACTTTGAGCCACAAGAGGTTCAACAAGTAAAAACACATTGTTCACTGGAATCAAGTTGATTCCCCGAAAATGTTGTTGTTGAACATTTTGCACCAAGTATGTCAACATTTTTCTTTGCCTAAATTTCTCAATGGTACATTATACAGTTACATTGCCGTTTGATGATGATGCGATAGTTCTTTTCCTGTTTCAGAGGGTGGTTTGGGTAGCCTTGTGGTTAAAGCATTCACCTGTCACGCCGAAGACAGGGGTTTGATTCCCCATATGGGTACAATGTGTGAAGCCCATTTCTGGTGTCCCTTCCATGATACAGCTGGAATATTGCTAAAAGTGACGTAAAACTATACTCACTCATTCCTCTTTCAGATCTTCAGCGACATCTGTCAAGATTTGACCAAGACAGAACTGACACAGTCCATTGCTGAATACCTTGTTGGTAAGATGGCTATGTTTTATGAGGTGTAGTTGGCGTGTTTCTGGAGCTGAGATTTGGGCTAGAATTGGTCTTCAGCAATCCATTCTTGTCGTAAGAGACTACTAACGGGATCAGGTGGTCAGACTCGCTGACTTTGTTGACACGTCGTTGTATCCCAATTGGGTTGATCGATGCTCATGATGTTGATCACTGGATGGTCTGGTCCAGACTCGATTATTTACAGACTGCTACCGTTTAGCTAGAATATTGCAGGAAAAAGAAACGAAATTAATCTAAATGTTTGTGTCTGGACCGTTATCTGAAGTCACATGAAGAAGCATGTGTGCTATGTCTACCGCACACATAAATGTGGAGGCTTTCTGATTGGCTGGTGTGTGCTCTTCTATTATTTTCAGTGTGATGAGCATCATGATGATGATGATGCAACTTCATGTTGAGGCATTGTGTACTGATCAGGGTTGGTCAGTAACTCATGTTGCATTTATGTCAGGGAGAGAATGTTGTTGTTTGTACTTGTGCTCATTGGCTAGAGTAGACAATGGATTTATCTTATGAAAATGTCACTTTCTGTTTGGCTGAATTTTCTATTATTTTATGTTGAATCACTTGTCAATGGGAGCTCATTCTGGTGATGTGGTAGTAATTCTTTATCTCGAATTTTCTTGTCGTGTGAAATCGTTGAAATTAGATGTATGGCGAATGTAAATCGATGGAAGGGAGATAATTTCGAAATCTGTGCTTGTCAGCTGGAAATTAGCGATGGCGTAAAAAAGATTTGTACCAGGTGCTTCAAACAATTCAAAGGGCTCGGGAACATAAACAAACATCTAGGGTACATCAACCCATGCCCACCTAGTGAATAAGTTATAATGTATCAGTTTAGAACGGTGAGACTGCATAGAGTTTGTATGTATTCACAGGAGATTGTGACACATAGTGTATACGAATATACTAATGATGGCGGTTACATCCACAATTTGTTGTTAATGGTGATGGCAATTACCTCCCTTGGTTCAGCGTCCACCTATAGCAATTACCTCATTGTTTCAGCATCCACCTACAGCAATTACCTCATTGTTTCAGCATCCACCTACAGCAATTACCTCATTGTTTCAGCATCCACCTACAGCAATTACCTCATTGTTTCAGCATCCACCTACAGCAATTACCTCATTGTTTCAGCATCCACCTACAGCAATTACCTCATTGTTTCAGCATCCACCTACAGCAATTACCTCATTGTTTCAGCATCCACCTACAGCAATTACCTCATTGTTTCAGCATCCACCTACAGCAATTACCTCATTGTTTCAGCATCCACCTACAGCAACTACCTCATTGTTTCAGCATCCACCTATAGCAATTCAGCCTCCATTGTTTCAGCATCCACCCAATTACCTCATTGTTTCAGCATCCACCTATAGCAATTACCTCATTGTTTCAGCATCCACCTACAGCAATTACCTCATTGTTTCAGCATCCACCTACAGCAATTACCTCATTGTTTCAGCATCCACCTACAGCAATTACCTCATTGTTTCAGCATCCACCTACAGCAATTACCTCATTGTTTCAGCATCCACCTACAGCAATTACCTCATTGTTTCAGCATCCACCTACAGCAATTATCAATTCTCATTGTTTCAGCATCCACCTACAGCAATTACCTCATTGTTTCAGCATCCACCTACAGCAATTACCTCATTGTTTCAGCATCCACCTACAGCAATTATCTCATTGTTTCAGCATCCACCTACAGCAATTATCTCATTGTTTCAGCATCCACCTACAGCAATTACCTCATTGTTTCAGCATCCACCTACAGCAATTACCTCATTGTTTCAGCATCCACCTACAGCAATTACCTCATTGTTTCAGCATCCACCTACAGCAATTATCTCATTGTTTCAGCATCCACCTACAGCAATTATCTCATTGTTTCAGCATCCACCTACAGCAATTACCTCATTGTTTCAGCATCCACCTACAGCAATTAACTCATTGTTTCAGCATCCACCTACAGCAATTACCTCATTGTTTCAGCATCCACCTACAGCAATTACCTCATTGTTTCAGCATCCACCTACAGCAATTACCTCATTGTTTCAGCATCCACCTACAGCAATTACCTCATTGTTTCAGCATCCACCTACAGCAATTACCTCATTGTTTCAGCATCCACCTACAGCAATTACCTCATTGTTTCAGCGTCCACCTACAGCAATTACCTCATTGTTTCAGCATCCACCTACAGCAGCATGAAGCGGCAGCTGGAGAAGGAAGTTTTGCGCTTCTTGCCCTTCACTGCAGCAGATACATTACGTGGCCAGTTTGAACGGGTAATGTCAAACTTAGAGGAGCATGATCCATTACTAATTGTCTGTTCCCCATTGTCTGTCCATCATTATCCATTGTCTGTCTGTCATTATCCTTTGTGTCATTACCTATTGTCTGTCCCTCATTGTATGTCCCCGATTATCCATTGTCTGTCCCTGATTATCCATTGTCTCATTATCCATTGGCTGTTCCTCATTATCCATTGTCTGTCCATCATTATCCTTTGTCTCATTACCTATTGTTAGTCCCTCATTGTCTCTCCCTCATTGTCTGTCCATAATTTTTCATTGTCTCATTATCCATTGTCATTCTCATTATCCCCCATTGTTCGTCCTAATTATCCATTGTCCATCCTCATTATCCGTTGTCTGTCCCTCATATCCATTATCTGTCAATCTCCATCCCTCATTATCAATTGTCTGTCTTTCATTATCCATTATCTGTCAATCTCCATCCCTCATTATCAATTGTCTGTCTTTCATTATCTATTGCCTGTCCCTCATTATCCATTGTCCATCCTCATTATCCATTGTCTGTCCCTCATATCCATTATCTGTCAATCTCCATTCCTCATTATCCATTATCTGTCTTTCATTATCCATTGTCCACATGAAAATGCTTCATGAATAAGCCAATCAGCATGAAGCAAAATGATAATATAAGAAATAAATCAAAATAAATCACCAACCAACATGGTGAATATGAGGAATATCCCCTGTAAATTTCAGCGGTATGTCCATTGCAGAGCCCGACAGGAGAGAGACTTGCCTGTTTGTCCTACACCTCGTTCGACAGTATCAACATCAGCACGAAGACAGCACGAGAGCGGGAGGGTCAGCAGCCGGTCAGTGAAGACATGTGGGACATCCTACGTCGCAGACTCAGGATGAGGCAACTGGACCACGCCACGCACTTTAACCTGGACATCATCAGCAAGAAGTTCTCAAAGCTCACATCAGACGAGGAGCGAGACAGGGTGGGTATCTTTGCATTGATTTGATGAGAATATTTGCCATGGTAAGTACTCAAGTGCTTGCATTTTGGCTGACCGGAACTAAAACCCATGATCTATTCCCATGGTTTTTATCGTCTTAAATTACTTTTCATTAACATTTTACCAACCGTTCAAAGGGAGAAAAGGAAACAGATGGGATGGGCAGACATGATTTTTGTTTGCACTCGGCAACATTCAAGCTATATGGCAGCCGTCTGTAAATAATCAGGTCTGAACCAGACAATCCAGTGATCAACATCATATGGCATTCAATCACAATCCAGTGATGAACATCATTTTGGATACGATGGCATGTATCAACCTGACCACCTGATCCTGTTAGTCACCTCTCACAACAATGGGTTGTTGAAGACCAGTTCTAACCCACAGACATTGAAAAGGCTTTTAATTATTTCTTTTGGTTAGATTTTCAAAACCTTCAGGTAGTCCAAACATTCCGCAAACTTCTTGACTTCAGTGGGCCTGGACGCTTTATTGTTGACAATTAGGGACAGAGAATGCGTAATAAGTGTCCTAAGTGTTTAGAGAAATAGTTAAACAAGTAGTGCACAAACTTTGTGTGGCGAAATGTTTTCAGTAATAGTTACCAGGCCAGTTACCTGGGCGCATTTAAATATTACATATAGGTGTGTCTAGAAGTTGGTCAGGATTCGCTTACAAGAGCAGGGTACTTATAAGGGTAAATATTATTTAAGTATAGTAAGCTGGAGTATTACAATATCAGTGATGCATCTGGCTTTGTTATAGTGCGTTAACACTGTCGTCTGAAAACATGTGATGTCTGAAAACCTATGATCCAACAATATACCCCTTCAACCTTGAAACAGTGGTGTTTGACTGTATCTACTGAAAATAGTGTTAAATACAGGTTCTTGTTGAAAGACTCTGAGAAGCAGAGACCCATCTCAGTGTTCAGTATGTGATTTCATTGGTGTATGTTTCAATGTCAACTTCAGGATGGTTGGTTGGTTGTTGTTTAACGCCACTCTCAGCAATATTCCAGCTATATGGCGGCGGTCTGTAGATAATTGTGTCTGGACAACACACTCCAGTGATCAACATCATGAGCATCAATCAGCCCAATTGGGAATCGATAACGTGTGCCAACCAAGTCAGCCAGCCTGACCACCCGATCCCGTAGGTCGCCTCTTACAACAAGCATGGGTTGCTGATGATCAATTCTAAGCCAGATCTTCATGGGTTGTCAACTTCAGGTCAAGTGGGAGAGAGTCATCAAGCCATCCAAAGAGACGTTCCTTGGAAGTATTCACAGAACAAACAGGTTGGTGCAGTTCCTTTTGGTTCAAGATCTGGTATATGATTAACTTTTTATCTCAATTGTTGAACTGTATTTGGATCTTCACCCCATAATTAACTCCAGGAAAACATTTTTCCTTAACCTGACTCATACATTCATGCATTTTGCTTCCCTCTGTTAACCTAAGATTTTATGCAAATATTCTGTAATTTATTCCCCAGGAACAGTAATAACATCTTACCCAAACACATCCCTCTATTGTACATACGAACCACATTACAAGCCAGGGACTTGTCACTCACTCAATTTTTGCCGAACAAGATGTTTTTGTAATCCAAGCCATCCTATCGAAATTATAAAGATTTTTCAAAATTCTTGGCTATGTTTATCCTTTCAGGCTTTTAATGCTTCATATCCACTGATTATTTTTTCTCAGTTTGGTGTTTAATTAAGTTTATTTCGATATAATTACAACCCACAGTCTCTTTGTGAAAAACTGCTCTTTGTGTAAGCTATAAGTATCACATCAGGACCCCTACCCAACCTGGTCATCATGCATCCCTAGACATTGCAACATAGACAGTAAATGTTGTTTCTGTGCCCCTCTTTGGAAAAATGATTTTATTGTCTGTTTGCAGTACAGATTAAAAAGATGGACAAAAAAGGCATTGTCCCAGTCGTCATCTTCTATGGAGAAGACTATTGAACAGTTTGCAGAACTTGAGTTGTTCTAGTACATTCCTCTGAGGGAGATGTTAATGTTCAGTCTATTAATATGAATTTCTTTCACTCGTTAGAGTATTTGCCATCACGGGACTCTATTGTTGGTCCAAGGGCTGTTGATTTAGTCGTGAAGGTCACATGTAATTAGAGGAACACATCGTCTGAAGAGCAGAACAATCTGCAGAAACTAGCAAAGTTGAAGAAGACCATGAAGAAGTAATATACCTCTGCAGAACCATATCCGGCTGTTACTTCACGGTTCTTGATCCTGTTTATTATTATTGGATATTTATATAGCGTACATATCCATGCACTAGTGCATGCCCAAGGCGCTGGTATTTTTTTCCTCGATCATTGGATGTCAATCTCAGCGGCACATCTTAGTATCAATCTCAGCTTCCTGGGGAATATACAACTCTTGCTGCCACTAGGCGCACCAAGTTATAGCATCTTTCCCATCCTTACGAGGTACCCATTCACAGCTGGGTGGACTGGGACACATAGTCACAGTACTTTGTCCAAGTTTACTCATTAGTTGAAAAGAAGACTTCGCGACCTGCATAGAGAATTCTCAGAAGAATATTGAAACGCCAGACACAGATCTTTTGCAACCACAGGTGTTGGAAGGTCAATCATCATTCACACACCAACGCTTTCTCAAGTGGACAACTGGTAGTCTAGACTGCAGACTTGTGTACCCCTCTGAGAAGTTGTGCCAATTTACACTTCTCAGAGGGTACACAAAGTCCGCAGTCTAAACTACCAGTTGTCCGACTTCCATTTTTGTGGAAGTCGCGGTGGCTGAGCGGGTGAAGCGGCTGACTTTGTCAGGGTTTTACACAGACTTTTAAAAATGGGAGCCATGGTGACTCACAATATTTATTTTTGGGAGTCATGTTCAATATTTGGGAGTGATGAAAATGTTAATATTTCTTTGTGTTTATCATTCTCAGTATGTAACTGTGTATGTCACACCACCAAATGAAACTACAGCATTGTTCAATTCAAACAGCCAGGATTACTGTCGTCTGAGTTCTCTGGAACAATCTGACATCTCTGTAAAAGTCAAATTGTCATCAAACAATATCATTTTTTGCTTATCAAATCGATTTATTGAACTGAATTGTGAGGGCCAGCCATAAAACTTGCGCCAAGCTTGACTCGTATGATAATATTTTGAGAGTCGTTTACAAAATTGTTGCGTCAAATACGCAGGAATCACGGGTCATGTAAAACCCTGCTTTGTGTGCTGGCGATTAGGTGCTTGACTCTGAGGGTGTGGATTCGAATCCCGGATGGGACTCAACCCAAGAAAGTACTAGAGTTTGTACTTTACTAAGAAAGTGTAATCCCAAATATAACATATGTTACACATTCAGCAGGGTGTACTTTGTTGCAAGGACAAGTATTAATTTCTAATGCTCAGGGGGTCAGAAATCTATGTGAAGTCATTGCTACGTCAAACCTGGGGGACGTCCACAATCTTTGGTGGTTGTATTCGTCATGCGAGTAAAGAAGTAGTTCAAGACTCCAAGGATGCAATGCTGGTCAAGTCAATACAAAGGAAAAATATGTATATCCACACTTTCCTCTAATATTTTGTACGATTTGGAAATTACAAAAATGGAGGGAGTGACGAGTCACCGTTGGGGTGCCAGTGAGATGCTTTTACTGTTCTTGGGGACATAACTCAGAATGTTTCCATTATATCTTGGGTTAAATGAGAGAAAAACATAAAGTATGAGTCAGGTTAAGTTTAAAATAATATTTTTACTCTGATAAATACTTATTCATCAGCAATTGATAATGGTGGTGGTGGTGATTATGATGAAGATGGAGAATTGCTATGACATTGACCTTCAGGTCTACACCAGTACAAGTGTCGAATGGTGGGCGGCTCAGTCGGACAGAGATGGTGCTTGGACCTCAACCCGTCTTCCTGCAGGGAGCCTATGGTGAAGATGGGTCCAGGACAAGGCAGCTGAGTGCAGTGGTACGACCTCCTCTTTCATGTGTTGCTTTCAAGAATCGTTAATGTCGTCTCTGGCCCCTGGTGGGAAGGTGGGGTAGCCCATTGGTTAAAGTATTCGCTCATCACGCTGAAGACCCGGGTTCAATTCCCCACATAGGTACAATTTCTGGTGTGCCCACCATGATTTTGTTGGAATGTTGCTAAAAGTAACGTAAAACTTAAGTCACTCACTCACTCTTGAGTTGGTTTATGGACCACATATTACAACAGATGTTAGACCCTGATCCACCTGGCATATGATTGGATGAGCCACACACCATGCCCACACGGACACACACAGACGGACACACACGGACACACACGGACGGACACACACACAGACATGTCATATATCATGCAGTTGGACCCAAATTATATGTCTTGTGACAATCTCAAATCGATGTGTGGTTTCATCTGTGCATATCACCTGTCACCATGGTAACATTATACATCTGTGCTGTAGACAGAGGAGCTGCTTACCTCCTACCTGGTTCGCCATTTGAAGAAGGACAACAAGGTGAAGGCTCACAATGTGGCCAAGGAATATGTTGCATGCCAGGTGGGTAAACAGATGTCCTGTGGTGTCAGTAAACAGATGTCTTCTAGTGTCAGTAACCAGATGTCCTGTAGCATCAGTAAACAGATGTCCTGTAGTAAACAAGATGTCTTCTAGTGTCAGTAAACAGATGTCTTGTAGTGTCAGTAAACCAGATGTCCTGTAGCATCAGTAAACAGATGTCCTGTAGTAAACGTGACGTCCCAGCAGCGTCAGTAAACAGATGTCCTGTAAAGCGTCAGTAAACAGATGTCCAGATGTAGCAGATGTCAGTAAACAGATGTCCTCAGTAAACAGATGTCCTGTAGTGTCAGCAGATGTCCTGTGGTGTCAGTAAACAGATGTCTTCTAGTGTCAGTAAACAGATGTCCTGTAGCATCAGTAAACAGATGTCCTGTAGCGTCAGTAAACAGATGTCCTGTAGCGTCAGTAAACAGATGTCTTCTAGTGTCAGTAAACCAGATGTCCTGTAGCATCAGTAAACAGATGTCCTGTAGTGTCAGTAAACAGATGTCCTGTAGTCAGTAAACAGATGTCCTGTAGTGTCAGTAAACAGATGTCTGTAAACAGATGTCTTCTAGTGTCAGTAAACAGATGTCCCTGTAAACGTCCAGTGTCAGTAAACAGATGTCTTCTAGTGTCAGTAAACAGATGTCCTGTAGCATCAGTAAACAGATGTCCTGTAGCGTCAGTAAACAGATGTCCTGTGGTGTCAGTAAACAGATGTCTTCTAGTGTCAGTAACCAGATGTCCTGTAGTATCAGTAAACAGATGTCCTGCAGCGTCAGTAAACAGATGTCTTCTAGTGTCAGTAACCAGATGTCCTGTAGTATCAGTGAACAGTAGGGCTGCAAGAAATCAACTATGAGGCCAATACAATATGTTTTTCAAAGTAACGGAAACGAATATTTATTTATGTTTGATATCAAGGAATTAAATAACAATTGGATGTGTTAAAACATTTAAATGATATGTACTATGAAGCTCAAAAAGCAATCCAAACAATGCTGCTGTTGTAAGGGGCCTTGGCCAAATACAACAAGGCAGGCTGTATTCCATTTGGCATATGCTCTTTGATGAACAAGAAACTAGTTCCAACACTCTCTTAATAGTTGTAAATATTCAGTTCTAGTGACCATGAATAATGGACTGAATTCATGAAGGGATACGGTGCAATTCAAACAATATGCGAGTTAATTGTAACAGGACTCGTTGACAGAGGTTCTTTCAGCGATGGTACACAGATGTGTTGTCGGTACTTAGGTATAAGGGAAATACTGTCTGTGTAACTGACACTTCAGGGGGAAACCTATATACTTTCTGTATAGGTACAGAAGACCCAGCAGCTGTGTCACCTGTTGTGGAGTCTGAGACGCACAGAATCGTCTGGGTGTGACAACATGCTGCCCAACCTGTAAGTCACATTCCACACTTCACACGGTATTCCACTCTTCACACATTATTTTCCTGTGTGCCTGTGTTTTCTCTTTCTGTGTCCTTTTGGATTTGGGTCTTGTTGTTTGGTCCTTCCATTCCAGTTATTTCATGCTGGTGCCAGTGTCCGTCCATTCCTGTGGTGTGGCCTAAGTTTTTCACTGGGGTTATTCCACCTTTTATGGTTCTGGGCTCCTTTGTGTGGCAGTCATCCTTCATATGTTGTCGTTGGGTGTGTTTCCTCTGGGATTGGTGGGATCTGGGTCTTTGGTCAGTTGTGTGTTTTAAGCCATCCACTGGTCTGTTTCCTCTTCCTTCATTCCTTCTTCCTGTGCTCCTGTCTTCCTTCCTTCCTTCCTCCATTCCTCCTTCCTTTTCCTTCCTCCACTCCTTCCTTCCTCCTGTGTCTTCCTGCCTCTTCCTCCTGTGCCTTCGTCTTCCTTCCTTGTCCCTTCCTCTCGTCCTTCCTTCCTCTTTGTCTCTCTCGTCTTCTCTCCTTCCTCCTTTCCTCCTCCTGCCTCTCCTCTTCCTCTCCTTCACCTTGTGTCTTGTCTTCCTTGTCTTTCCTCCTCACCCCTGCCCTCTTCTTTCCTCCTCACCCCTGCCCTCTTCTTCTCTCCCTCATCCCTGCCCTCTTCCTTCTCTCCTCATCCCTGCCCTCTTCTTTCACTCCTCACCCCTGCCCTCTTCTTTCACTCCTCACCCCTGTCCTCTTCCTTCTCTGAGGACCCCTGGTACAAATATCAGTGAGTGAGTGAGTTTGGTTTTACTCCGCTTTTAGCAGTATTCCAGCAATATCATGGCGGGGGACACCAGTAATGGGCTTCACACTTTGTACCCTTGTGGGGAATCGAACCCGGGTCTTCTGCGTGACGAGTGAACGCTTTAACCACTAGGCTGCCCCACTCAACCGGTACATATATCAAGTCACCTAACTGGCAACAGTCACCACGGGAGCTCCAACTAATCTGTCTGTAACAAAGTCCAGACTAGTGTCCAATCGTCAGACTCTAACAAACTCCAGACTAGTGACCAATCCTCAGACTGTAACAAAGTTAAGGCTAGTGACCAATCCTCACTCGGTAACAAAGGCGAACCAAGTGACCAATCCTCAGTCTGTAACAAAGTCAAGGCTAGTGACCAATCCTCAGTCTGTAAGAAAGTCCAGGCTAGTGACCAATCCTCAAGTCTGGAAAAATGTCGAGACTAGTGACCAATTCTCAGTCTGTAACAAAGTCCAGGTTAGTGACCAATCCTCAGTCTGTAACAAAGTCCAGATTAGTGACCAATCCTCAGTCTGTAACAAAGTCCAGGCTAGTGACCAATCCTCACTCGGTAACAAAGTCCAGACTATAGTGACCAATCCTCTGTCTGTAACAAAGTCGAGGTTAGTGACCAATCCTCAGTCTGTAACAAAGTTAAGGCTAGTGACCAATCCTCACTCGGTAACAAAGTCCAGACTATAGTGACCAATCCTCAGTCTGTAACAAAGTCGAGGTTAGTGACCAATCCTCAGTCTGTAACAAAGTCCAGGTTAGTGACCAATCCTCAGTCTGTAACAAAGTCCAGACTATAGTGACCAATCCTCAGTCTGTAACAAAGTCCAGGTTAGTGACCAATCCTCAGTCTGTAGCAAAGTCCAGACTATAGTGACCAATCCTCAGTCTGTAACAACGGAGTGACTAGTGACCAATCTTCTGTCTGTAACTAAGTCCAGTTTAGTGACCAATCTACAGTCTGTAGCAAAGACGAGACAAGTGACCAATCGTCAGTCTGTAATAATGTAGAGACTAGTGACCAATCCTCAGTCTGTAACAAAGTCCAGGCTAGTGACCAATCCTAAGTCTGTAACAAAGTCCAGGCTAGTGACCAATCCTCAAGTCTGGAAAAATGTCGAGACTAGTGACCAATTCTCAGTCTGTAACAAAGTCCAGGTTAGTGACCAATCCTCAGTCTGTAACAAAGTCCAGATTAGTGACCAATCCTCAGTCTGTAACAAAGTCCAGGCTAGTGACCAATCCTCACTCGGTAACAAAGTCCAGACTATAGTGACCAATCCTCTGTCTGTAACAAAGTCGAGGTTAGTGACCAATCCTCAGTCTGTAACAAAGTCCAGGCTAGTGACCAATCCTCACTCTCGGTAACAAAGTCCAGACTATAGTGACCAATCCTCAGTCTGTAACAAAGTCGAGGTTAGTGACCAATCCTCAGTCTGTAACAAAGTGACCAATCCCCAGACTATAGTGACCAATCCTCAGTCTGTAACAACGGCGTGACTAGTGACCAATCTTCTGTCTGTAACTAAGTCCAGTTTAGTGACCAATCTACAGTCTGTAGCAAAGACGAGACAAGTGACCAATCGTCAGTCTGTAATAATGTAGAGACTAGTGACCAATCCTCAGTCTGTAACAAAGTCCAGGCTAGTGACCAATCCTAAGTCTGTAACAAAGTACAGACTAGTGACCAATCCTCAGTCTGTAACAAAGTCCAGGTTAGTGACCAATGTTCAGTCTGTAGCAAAGGCGAGAGAAAGTGACCAATCCTCAGTCTGTAACAAAGTCCAGGTTAGTGACCAATCCTCAGTCAGTAACAAACTCCAGTCTAGTGACCAATCCTCAGTCGGTAACAAACTCCAGTCTCGTGACCAATCCTCAGTCGGTAACAAGCTCTAGTCTAGTGACCAATCCTCAGTCTGTAACAAGCTCTAGTCTAGCGTGACCAATCCTCAGTCGGTAACAAGCTCTAGTCTAGTGACCAATCCTCAGTCGGTAACAAGCTCTAGTCTAGTGACCAATCCTCAGTCTGTAACAAACTCCAGTCTAGTGACCAATCCTCAGTCTGTAACAAACTCTAGTCTCGTGACCAATCCTCAGTCGTAACAAGTAACAAGCTCTAGTCTGCTCTAGTGACCAATCCTCAGTCAGTAACAAGCTCTAGTCAACTCTCGTGACTCCAATCCTCAGTCAGTCGGTAACAAGCTCTAGTCTAGTGACCAATCCTCAGTCGGTAACAAGCTCTAGTCTAGTGACCAATCCTCAGTCTGTAACAAGCTCTAGTCTCGTGACCAATCCTCAGTCGGTAACAAGCTCTAGTCTAGTGACCAATCCTCAGTCTGTAACAAGCTCTAGTCTAGTGACCAATCATCAGTCTGTAACAAACTCCAGACTATAGTGACCAATCCTCAGTCGATAACAAGCTATAGTCTAGTGACCAATCCTCAGTCGGTAACAAGCTCTAGTCTCACGTGACCAATCCTCAGTCGGTAACAAGCTCTAGTCTAGTGACCAATCCTCAGTCGATAACAAGCTCTAGTCTCGTGACCAATCCTCAGTCTGTAACAAACTCCAGACTATAGTGACCAATCCTCAGTCGATAACAAGCTCTAGTCTAGTGACCAATCCTCAGTCGGTTACAAGCTCTTGTCTCGTGACCAATCCTCACTCGGTAACAAGCTCTAGTCTAGTGACCAATCCTCAGTTGGTTACAAGCTCTTGTCTATAGTGACCAATCCTCAGTCTGTAACAAAGTCCAGGTTAGTGACCAATCCTCAGTTTGTAAAACTTTCAATCATGTTGACTTCTTTACTGTATAGGGCGGTTAACAATTCGCATCCATAAAAACATTTAGATAGAATCATTCGTTTCATGTATTAAATGTAGCAGGATGGAGGTCACATTTGTTCAGGTCAAGCGATTCGTAGTGAATTAACACATTGTCTTGCTTTTACTGTTCATTACTGTTCCTCCTCAGAGTTGTCAATTGTACCATCGCCAGACTTGTATTTGACATTATTATGGAGCTGGGGTGATTTACATGCTGTTCTCCTGACTTTCAATTCTAGGTTTCCAGACCTATTTCACGGCACTTGGCTTCCGCTGTCTACACTTGAGGTATGTCATGTATGCTGCTCTCCTTGGTTTAATGTTTTGTGCACCATATCTGTCATCAAGAAGCCTTCATAATTACTGCTGGTGTGCTGAGGACAAGTAAAAATGCAAAGTGCTCTGGGTTAGGAAAGAAAATGAAAATTTCTTCAGCTGTCATCAGTTTCATCCACCGAGTGGTAAATGTGAGAGTCACGTCAGGCTTTCTGACCCACATGAAGCTGACAACCAAATTTTGTACAGTCACATGAAATCCACAGCCCAACTCCGATGATTTGTCTCATCATTTTGGACACCCAAACAAAAAGTTGTTTAACAAACGATCATTATTTTGTTGTCATTATTACTTCCGAGGGGACCACCGCAACTTCCACAAAAATGGAAGTCGGACAACTGGTAGTATAGACTGCGGACTTTGTGTACCCTGTGATAGGTGTAAATGGGCAGAGGGGTGTTTAAGGTTGGGTAGCCTAGTGGTTAATGTATACGCTTGTCAGTTCCCCGAACTACTGCATTAGATACAATGTGTGAATTCCAGTTCTGGTGTCACACACCATAATATTGCTGTAATATTGCTAAAAGCGGCATTTAACCATACTCTCTCGCTCCCTCACTCACTCACTCACTCACTCACTCACTCACTCACTCACTCACTCACTCACTCACTCACTCACTCACTCACTCACTCACTCACTCACTCACTCACTCGTCTGTTCACAGGTTGTTTCTGCAGTACGTGGACCGAGGAGTCTTGTCACTCACTGGCCAGTTCGTCACACAGCTTCTTGCAGGTGAGGTGTAGGAGCTACATGTTCTGGACGTATGTCATGTTACCGTCCACACTAGGTCTACAGGCTATGATGCAACTCCAGTACCGCTCAGAGTGGTTATCTCACAAATCTCACCACCTCTGTGGTGTAGTGGTTAGAGCGTCCGCCCGGAGAGCGGAAGGTCGATCCCCGACCGCGTCAAACCAAAAGACGTTAAAATATGGTACTTGTTGGTCCCTGCCTGGCGTTCGGCATTAATGGGTACAACAAGGACTGGTCGGCTCGGAGTCAGTATAATGTGTCTGAGTGGGGTATTCATGCTTCACTGCGGCATGGTATCTCAGTGGGCTAGCACTATAAAACCAGCTTCAGTCTGGGCTAGTACAAGCAGCCGCACATACACATACACACGCATGCACGTCGTCATATGAGGGAAATATTCTCAAGCACGACGTAAAACCCAATTTCACCTCACCTCATCTCATCTCACAAATCTCACACTAACCCTTAGTTGCATTCCAGATGTTCCTGATTCTGACGAGGATAAAGAAAATTCCGAGATCAAATTCCAGATTATTTCCAGATTGCCAAAGGTAAGTTAATTAGGTTCTTGGATTCAGCTGAAATGGCGATCAGTGTAGGAACAGAAGCTGGAAGCTGAGTACCAGCTGGTACCTTGTGATAAGATATGTACCACGATACTGACAGTATCACTGTTATCATGATAAACCACAACAGATTGTAAGAAATGATGAAATCTCAGAAGTACATCTTAAACATCTTGCTTCATACGTTATTTATTTTTTCAGAAACTAAGCAAAACAGTTTGAAATGGAAGAATGGTTATACAATGTAATGATCATGAAATAATGTTATTCATTTGTATAGTGCTCATTTCCAATGTAGCACTGAATTATTGCCCCGAACAACTGGGATACAATGACATGTGTCAACCAAGTCGCCACTTACGACAAGCATGGGTTACTGAAGAGTGAGTGAGTGATTTTAGTTTTACGCTGCACTCGGCAATATTCCAGCTATATGGCTGCGGTCTGTAAATAATCGAGTCTGGACCAGACAATCCAGTGATCATCGATGTACACAGTTAGGAACCGATGACATGTGTCAACCAAGTCAGCAAGCCTGACCACCCGATCCTGTTAGTCGCCTCTTACGACAAGCATGGGTTACTGAAGATCAATATTCTAACCCAGATCTTCACAGGTAGGTTACTGAAGATCAATTTTAACTCAGATCTTCACGGGTTGATACATGTATAAGCGGGGGACACCAGAAATGGGCTTCGCAAGTTGTACCCGGGGGGATATTATCAAGCTTGACAAAGAAACACTTTAGCCACTGCCTTGTTGAACCAAACAGAAGAATAAACGTTGCTGTGTGTGATAAATATATTTCTCAAATGAGATATGTGATAATACTGAACACAAAGGTTTTGTTTTATTGTTTTGTATGTCATATCTTAGTCATGGGAAACTAATTGCCGTTGCCATTTCATAGCATCCCATAAGTCATTTGAAATTAATTGCAGTGGTGATATTCAACCATGCCCTTGACCCTTCAACACTGGAATGTTGTCGCTTGTTTTATATGGTGCTTTATTGTGATTACGTGTGTGTTGTGTTCCAGACACTAGCAGAGGAGTGTTTCCGCCTCTGGAACCATCCTCTGTGTGCCCGGTACTTCGCCTATCAGCAGGTGACGGAGATACTACTAGATGGTAATGACGATAATAATAATAAATGTGAACTTAAAATGCACTTTTCCATGCACAAGGCCCATGCTCAAAGCGCTAAAACAGTGGATGGATAATATACATATATACAATGAGGTACTAGTAGCTAGTCATAACGCAATGAAAACAGATGAGTCTTGAGCAGTTGTTTGAAGGAATCTAAGTCAACTGATGACTTAATGGTGATAGGGAGAAAGTTCCATATTAGAGGGGCAGAACAAGCAAAGGATTTCCTTCCAAAAGTTAGCAGTTTGAAACGAGACACAGAGTAGGTTCAGATTCTGACAACGGAGCTGTCTGTCTTGAGTGTAAGGGGTAAGAAGTTCTTGTAAGTTTTCAGGACTTTGAGTTCCAACTGTGGTTATCTCGAATTTTCGGCTCACCTCCATCCATCCCTCCAACATGTGATATGACCATGGACGACCAGTATCTATGGCGACACAATACATCGTATACAATTGCATCCATACAGCTTTCCAGAAATCTGTGATCATGGATTAGAATGCCCAATTTTCTCTGATTATGTTTCTAGATTTGTCAGGACTATAACTGTTTGTCTGTCCACAAACCATGCATGGTTTCAGGAGGAATAGAATATGAACATGACTGGCATTGAGATAGAACGTGATGTTGGACCAGATTCTCAGCACACTGTGATATAACTGAAATGCTGTTCAAAAATGTCTTTTTAAGTCACTCACTCACAACATATACCATTCAGCAAACTGTGCTTGTACCTGGTGACCAACTGTAGACATTGATTTAATGTGCACCTCATTGTTCCAATAATACAGCTTGGTCCTTTCATTTGCTTAGGTGCCAAATTTGCCAAATCAGAAGACACAAGAGAAGGTATGTTACTTATACAGAGGTGTTTTGTACCTACAGGCATAAACGCAGTATGATAGTGTTGTGGGTACCTGAGTCAGGTGGTAGGGCGGGATGTCTGTTGGTACCTTGCTCAGGTGGTTGGGCGATTAGTGTCGGTACCTGTGTCAGGTGGTAGGGCAAGGTAATGTGGGTACCTGGGTCAGATGGTAGGGCAAATTAGTGTGGGTACCTGTACCAGGTAGTTTTGTGAGGTAATGTGGGTACCTGGGTCAGGTAGTATTGTGAGGTAATGTGGGTACCTGTACCAGGTACTTTTGTGAGGTTGTGTGGGTACCTGGATCAGATGGTAGGGTGAGGTAATGTGGGTACCTGGGTCAGGTGGTAGGGTGAGGTAATGTGGGTACCTGTACCAGGTAGTTTTGTGAGGTAGTGTGGGTACCTGGGTCAGGTGGTAGGGTGAGGTAGTGTTGGTACCTGGGTCAGGTGGTATGGTGAGGTAGTGTGGGTACCTTGGTCAGGTTGTAGGGTGAGGTAGTGTTGGTACCATGGTCAGGTGGTAGGGCAAGGTAATGTGGGTACCTGGGTCAGATGGTAGGGCAAATTAGTGTGGGTACCTGTACCAGGTAGTTTTGTGAGGTAATGTGGGTACCTGGGTCAGGTAGTATTGTGAGGTAATGTGGGTACCTGTACCAGGTAGTTTTGTGAGGTAGTGTGGGTACCTGGATCAGATGGTAGGGTGAGGTAATGTGGGTACCTGGGTCAGGTGGTAGGGTGAGGTAATGTGGGTACCTGTACCAGGTAGTTTTGTGAGGTAGTGTGGGTACCTGGATCAGATGTTAGGATGAGGTAGTGTGGGTACCTGGGTCAGGTGGTAGGGTGAGGTAGTTAGGGTACCTTGGTCAGGTAGTATTGTGAGGTAGTGTGGGTCAGAAGGTAGGGTGAGGTAAATGTGGGTACCTGGGTCAGGTAGTAGTGTGGGTACCTGGGTCAGATGGTATGGTGAGACTGTTGGTACCTGGGTCATGTGGTAGGGTGCGGTGGTGTGGGTACCTGGGTCAGGTAATATTGTGAGGTAGTGTGGGTACCTGGGTCAGGTGGTAGGGTGAGGTAGTTAGGGTACCTGGGTCAGGTAGTATTGTGAGGTAGTGTGGGTCAGAAGGTAGGGTGAGGTAAATGTGGGTACCTGGGTCAGGTAGTAGTGTGGGTACCTGGGTCAGGTGGTAGGGTGAGACAGTGTGGGTACCTGGGTCAGATGGTAGGGTGAGGTAGTGTGGGTACCTGGGTCAGGTGGTAGGGTGAGAAAGTGTGGGTACCTGGGTCAGGTGGTAGGGTGAGGTAATGTGGGTACCTTGGTCAGATGGTAGGGTGAGGTAGTGTGGGTACCTGGGTCAGGTGGAAGGGTAAGGTAGTGTGGGTTCCTGGGTCAGGTGGTAGGGTGAGGTAGTGTGGGTACCTGGGTCAGGTGGTAGGGTGAGGTAGTGTGGGTACCTGGGTCAGGTGGAAGGGTGAGGTAGTGTGGGTTCCAGGGTCAGGTGGTAGGGGTGAGGTAGTATGGGTACCTGGGTCAGGTGGAAGGGTGAGGTGTAGGTACCTGGGTCAGGTGGAAGGGTGAGGTAGTGTGGGTACCTGGGTCAGGTGGTAGGGTGAGGTAGTGTGGGTACCTGGGTCAGGTGGTTGGGTGAGGTAGTGTGGGTACCTGGGTCAGGTGGTAGGGTGAGGTAGTGTGGGTACCTGGGTCAGGTGGTTGGGTGAGGTAGTGTTGGTACCTGGGTCAGGTAGTATTATGAGGTAATGTGGGTACCTCCATAGTGGCAGTTTTGTCTGGGTTTTTTACTATCTTATGTGTACCCTTCAACATTCCGCTATTGTTGCTGAGCCTTGATCACATAATTCTACCATGTACTGCAGCTGTGGTTCTCCATCAATAATTATTCTGATTAACTCGCAGCCAGAGATAACGACAGCATAGCAAGCGGATCCAGTGGGTACATGGCCTTCCCTCCATTGGAAATATTCATCCGTCATCTGAAAGACACAACGAAAGGTCAGTGTCTCTTACTGATGGCGCACTGTAATGTTTGTGTTAGTGAGTGAGTTTGATGCTTTTAACAGTCAAGTCATCCCGTGATGTGGAGTGAAGTTATGTAGGTTTAACACCTCACATGAGATCATATCATGCCACAACAACATGATGAAGGTCTTCAGTAGTGAGTGAGTGAGTGAGTTTGATGCTTTTAACAGTCAAGTCATCATGTGCTGTGGGGTGAAGTTATGTAAGTTTAACACCTCACATGAGATCATATCATGCCACAACAACAGGATGAAGGTCTTCAGTAGTGAGTGAGTGAGTTTGATGCTTTTAACAGTCAAGTCATCACGTGATGTGGGGTGAAGTTGTGTAGGTTTAACACCTCACATGAGATCATATCATGCCACACAACAGGATGGAGGTCTTCAGTAGTGAGTGAGTGAGTTTGATGCTTTTAACAGTCAAGTCATCACGTGATGTGGGGTGAAGTTGTGTAGGTTTAACACCTCACATGAGATCATATCATGCCACAACAACAAGTTGAAGGTCTTCAGTAGTGAGTGAGTGAGTTTAGTTTTACACCACTTTTAGGTGTGAAGAGCGAACGCATTCACCATAAGGCTATCACACTGCTCCAGGTCTTCAGTATTTACAGGGTAATCTAATGGTTAATGTGGTCGCTCTTCATGCTGAAGACCTGGGTTCGATTCCCCACATGGGTACAATGTGTGAAGTCCGTTTCTGGTGTCCTCTGTCATGATATTGCTGGAAAAAATATTGCAGCGTAAAACTAAACTCACTTCAGTTTTTACACTTTGGTGAAATCCATGGAAACAGTTACGGTGTGGACAAACTCAAAACAATCAGTATGATGTAGGATACAAACTTAACACTGGTTGCATGTATGCGTAGGTACTTAGCTGTTAACTCTGGGAGCGACTATCAGATGCGGTCACAATTGGGCCAGGCTCCTGTTTCAGTTATAAGATCCTTGCAACTCGCTATTTTAGGCAGTCAAAATAAAAATAATTTTGTGTTGATCTGCATTTTAATTTTTTTAACACTGATTTTGTACTTGTTCCTTTGGTCTGCAATACTAATTAGTTTACAATATCAATTTAATTTCAAATAAGAAAAATGAAACCACTGAATGAATATTGACATTCTGACACAGGCAAAATATGTGTCACTACCTTTTGAAATTTCAAAATTCTGGGAGGTAATGAAAATGTGATGCAACTGCTTGTGTATTTGTTACAGGAAGCATGAAGCGCCATGGTCGCAGTGTGACTGAATCGGTGGGCATCATCGACGTTGATACAGTTCTGTTGGAAGAGGTTGGACTGCAGCATTCAAAGTCTTCTACACAATATGACATGTCAACTGTAAATTTTTAAACTTAAATGTCATTGTGGCACATGCACACAACATATAGATCACAAATCAGGGGGGCGGTTGGATAGCTTAGTAGTTAGAGCATTTGCTCGTCACGCCAAAGAACCAGGTTCAATTTCCCCCAAGGGTGCAATGTGTGAAACCCATTTCTGGTATCCCCTTCTGTGATATTGCTGGAATATTGAACAACCCCCCTCGACGGAGCCAGTGCAAAACATTAACTTCAATGTGGTCATGAGTCATTTTCAAAAGGGGGCGGTTCAAACGCCTGGATCCTTCCCCACTCTGAGGCACCTGTTGCAGATCTTGTGTCTCATTAGGCAAGTGATGTGGTGTGAGGACACCTGCCAAATATACGTTCACACATTGTTGTCAGTGTGCATTCTGCAGCCTAATTAAGCAAGTTGTCCAAAGCTGGCCACACTAAATGAGCAAGCATTCTTATTGTCATTTAGAGGCCCATGGCATGTTAAGAATTCTGGACAGTAGTAAAAGCCATAGGAATCCTTTGAAAATTATGAGATGTGTTCATCTGAAAGAAAACTAGATATGTTTTATTTCAATGCAGTTTTCACTCATTCTGGCACAATCTATATACTTGATCATATCAGAATGCCAGAACTTGAAGGAGTAATGTCCCCACTTGCTTCATGTTACATGATGTTCATACAAATATACCAACCTATAATTGTTGATTCTCATAACTGAAATTGGGTCCTTTTCCTACCTTGTCCTTTCTGTTAGTTATGTGCCCTTATGTCCTCTTTCCAATCATGTGCCCTTTCTTTCAGTCATGTGCCCTTTCTTTAAACCATGTGCCCTTTCTTTAGATCATGTGCCCTTTCTTTCAGTCATGTGCCCTGTCTTTAGACCATGTGCCCTTTCTTAGATCATGTGCCCTTTTTTCAGTCATGTGCCCTTTTTTCAGTCATGTGCCCTTTCTTTAGATCCTGTACCCTTTCTTTCAGTCATGTGCCCTTTCTTTACACCATGTGCCCTTTTTTCAGTCATGTGCCCTTTCTTTAGATCATGTGCCTTTCTTTCAGTCATGTGCCCTTTCTTTAGATCATGTGACCTTTCTTTAGATCATGTGCCCTTTCTTTCAGTCATGTGTCCTTTCTTTAGACCATGTGCCCTTTCTTTCAGTCATGTGCCCTTTCTTTAGATCATGTGACCTTTCTTTAGATCATGTGCCCTTTCTTTAGACCGTGTGCACTTTCTTTCTGTCATGTGCCCTTTCTTTAGACCATGTGCCCTTTCTTAAGACCATGTGACCTTTCTTTAGACCATGTGCCCTTTCTTTCAGTCATGTGTCCTTTCTTTAGACCATGTGACCTTTCTTTCTGTCATTTTGCCCTTTCTTTAAATCATGTGACCTTTCTTTCATGTGTCCTTTCTTTAAACCATGTGCCCTTTCTTTCTGTCATTTGCCCTTTCTTAAAGTGCCCTTTCAGTGACATGGTGTCCTTTCTTTAGACCATGTGACCTTTCTTCTGTCATTTGCCCTTTCAAATCATGTGACCTTTCAGTTATGTGCCCTTTATTTCAGTCATGTGTCCTTTCTTTAGACCATGTGCCCTTTCTTTCAGTCATGTGCCCTTTCTTTAGATCATGTGCCCTTTCTTTAGATCATGTGACCTTTCTTTAGATCATGTGCCCTTTCTTTCAGTCATGTGCCCTTTCTTTAGATCATGTGCCCTTTCTTTAGATCATGTGACCTTTCTTTAGATCATGTGACCTTTCTTTAGATCATGTGACCTTTCTTTAGATCATGTGCCCTTTCTTTCAGTCATGTGCCCTTTCTTTCAGTCATGTGTCCTTTCTTTAGACCATGTGCCCTTTCTTTAGATCATGTGACCTTTCTTTAGATCATGTGACCTTTCTTTAGATCATGTGACCTTTCTTTAGATCATGTGACCTTTCTTTAGATCATGTGCCCTTTCTTTAGATCATGTGACCTTTCTTTAGATCATGTGACCTTTCTTTAGATCATGTGCCCTTTCTTTCAGTCATGTGCCCTTTCTTTAGATCATGTGACCTTTCTTTAGATCATGTGCCCTTTCTTTCAGTCATGTGCCCTTTCTTTCAGTCATGTGCCCTTTCTTTCAGTCATGTGTCCTTTCTTTAGACCATGTGCCCTTTCTTTAGATCATGTGACCTTTCTTTAGATCATGTGCCCTTTCTTTCAGTCATGTGTCCTTTCTTTAGACCATGTGCCCTTTCTTTAGACCATGTGCCCTTTCTTTAGACCATGTGCCCTTTCTTTCAGTCATGTGCCCTTTCTTTCAGTCATGTGTCCTTTCTTTAGACCATGTGCCCTTTCTTTAGATCATGTGCCCTTTCTTTAGACCATGTGCCCTTTCTTTCAGTCATGTGCCCTTTCTTTAGATCATGTGACCTTTCTTTAGATCATGTGCCCTTTCTTTAGATCATGTGACCTTTCTTTAGATCATGTGACCTTTCTTTAGATCATGTGCCCTTTCTTTAGATCATGTGCCCTTTCTTTCAGTCATGTGTCCTTTCTTTAGACCATGTGCCCTTTCTTTCAGTCATGTGCCCTTTCTTTAGATCATGTGCCCTTTCTTTAGACCATGTGCCCTTTCTTTAGATCATGTGACCTTTCTTTAGATCATGTGCCCTTTCTTTCAGTCATGTGTCCTTTCTTTAGACCATGTGCCCTTTCTTTCAGTCATGTGCCCTTTCTTTAGATCATGTGACCTTTCTTTAGATCATGTGACCTTTCTTTAGATCATGTGACCTTTCTTTAGATCATGTGACCTTTCTTTAGATCATGTGCCCTTTCTTTCAGTCATGTGCCCTTTCTTTAGATCATGTGACCTTTCTTTAGATCATGTGACCTTTCTTTAGATCATGTGCCCTTTCTTTCAGTCATGTGCCCTTTCTTTAGATCATGTGCCCTTTCTTTCAGTCATGTGTCCTTTCTTTAGACCATGTGCCCTTTCTTTAGATCATGTGCCCTTTCTTTAGATCATGTGACCTTTCTTTAGATCATGTGACCTTTCTTTAGATCATGTGCCCTTTCTTTAGACCATGTGCCCTTTCTTTAGATCATGTGACCTTTCTTTAGATCATGTGCCCTTTCTTTAGATCATGTGCCCTTTCTTTAGACCATGTGCCCTTTCTTTCAGTCATGTGCCCTTTCTTTAGATCATGTGCCCTTTCTTTAGACCATGTGCCCTTTCTTTCAGTCATGTGTCCTTTCTTTAGACCATGTGCCCTTTCTTTAGACCATGTGCCCTTTCTTTCAGTCATGTGTCCTTTCTTTAGACCATGTGCCCTTTCTTTAGACCATGTGCCCTTTCTTTCAGTCATGTGTCCTTTCTTTAGACCATGTGCCCTTTCTTTAGATCATGTGACCTTTCTTTAGATCATGTGACCTTTCTTTAGATCATGTGCCCTTTCTTTCAGTCATGTGCCCTTTCTTTAGATCATGTGACCTTTCTTTAGATCATGTGACCTTTCTTTAGATCATGTGCCCTTTCTTTAGATCATGTGCCCTTTCTTTAGACCATGTGCCCTTTCTTTAGATCATGTGCCCTTTCTTTCAGTCATGTGTCCTTTCTTTAGACCATGTGCCCTTTCTTTCAGTCATGTGCCCTTTCTTTAGACCATGTGCCCTTTCTTTCAGTCATGTGCCCTTTCTTTAGACCATGTGCCCTTTCTTTCAGTCATGTGTCCTTTCTTTAGACCATGTGCCCTTTCTTTCAGTCATGTGTCCTTTCTTTAGACCATGTGCCCTTTCTTTAGATCATGTGACCTTTCTTTAGATCATGTGCCCTTTCTTTCAGTCATGTGCCCTTTCTTTCAGTCATGTGTCCTTTCTTTAGACCATGTGCCCTTTCTTTAGATCATGTGACCTTTCTTTAGATCATGTGACCTTTCTTTAGATCATGTGCCCTTTCTTTCAGTCATGTGTCCTTTCTTTAGACCATGTGCCCTTTCTTTAGATCATGTGACCTTTCTTTAGATCATGTGCCCTTTCTTTAGACCATGTGCCCTTTCTTTCAGTCATGTGTCCTTTCTTTAGACCATGTGCCCTTTCTTTAGATCATGTGCCCTTTCTTTAGACCATGTGCCCTTTCTTTAGATCATGTGACCTTTCTTTAGATCATGTGACCTTTCTTTAGATCATGTGACCTTTCTTTAGATCATGTGACCTTTCTTTAGATCATGTGACCTTTCTTTAGATCATGTGCCCTTTCTTTCAGTCATGTGCCCTTTCTTTCAGTCATGTGTCCTTTCTTTAGACCATGTGCCCTTTCTTTAGATCATGTGCCCTTTCTTTAGACCATGTGCCCTTTCTTTCAGTCATGTGCCCTTTCTTTAGATCATGTGCCCTTTCTTTCAGTCATGTGCCCTTTCTTTCAGTCATGTGTCCTTTCTTTAGACCATGTGCCCTTTCTTTAGACCATGTGCCCTTTCTTTAGATCATGTGACCTTTCTTTAGATCATGTGCCCTTTCTTTAGATCATGTGACCTTTCTTTAGATCATGTGACCTTTCTTTAGATCATGTGACCTTTCTTTAGATCATGTGCCCTTTCTTTAGACCATGTGCCCTTTCTTTAGACCATGTGCCCTTTCTTTCAGTCATGTGCCCTTTCTTTAGATCATGTGACCTTTCTTTAGATCATGTGACCTTTCTTTAGATCATGTGACCTTTCTTTAGATCATGTGACCTTTCTTTAGATCATGTGCCCTTTCTTAGATCATGTGCCCTTTCTTTAGATCATGTGACCTTTCTTTAGATCATGTGACCTTTCTTTAGATCATGTGCCCTTTCTTTAGATCATGTGACCTTTCTTTAGATCATGTGACCTTTCTTTAGATCATGTGACCTTTCTTTAGATCATGTGACCTTTCTTTAGATCATGTGACCTTTCTTTAGATCATGTGACCTTTCTTTAGATCATGTGACCTTTCTTTAGATCATGTGACCTTTCTTTAGATCATGTGACCTTTCTTTAGATCATGTGCCCTTTCTTTAGATCATGTGACCTTTCTTTAGATCATGTGACCTTTCTTTAGATCATGTGCCCTTTCTTTAGATCATGTGCCCTTTCTTTAGATCATGTGCCCTTTCTTTAGATCATGTGCCCTTTCTTTCAGTCATGTGCCCTTTCTTTCAGTCATGTGTCCTTTCTTTAGACCATGTGCCCTTTCTTTAGATCATGTGACCTTTCTTTAGATCATGTGCCCTTTCTTTAGATCATGTGCCCTTTCTTTAGATCATGTGACCTTTCTTTAGATCATGTGACCTTTCTTTAGATCATGTGCCCTTTCTTTCAGTCATGTGCCCTTTCTTTAGATCATGTGACCTTTCTTTAGATCATGTGCCCTTTCTTTAGATCATGTGCCCTTTCTTTAGATCATGTGACCTTTCTTTAGATCATGTGACCTTTCTTTAGATCATGTGCCCTTTCTTTAGATCATGTGACCTTTCTTTAGATCATGTGACCTTTCTTTAGATCATGTGCCCTTTCTTTCAGTCATGTGCCCTTTCTTTAGATCATGTGACCTTTCTTTAGATCATGTGCCCTTTCTTTAGACCATGTGCCCTTTCTTTCAGTCATGTGTCCTTTCTTTAGACCATGTGCCCTTTCTTTAGATCATGTGCCCTTTCTTTCAGTCATGTGCCCTTTCTTTAGATCATGTGACCTTTCTTTAGATCATGTGACCTTTCTTTAGATCATGTGACCTTTCTTTAGATCATGTGCCCTTTCTTTAGACCATGTGCCCTTTCTTTAGATCATGTGACCTTTCTTTAGATCATGTGCCCTTTCTTTAGACCATGTGCCCTTTCTTTAGATCATGTGACCTTTCTTTAGATCATGTGACCTTTCTTTAGATCATGTGCCCTTTCTTTAGATCATGTG